ACATACACACCTCCCTTACCCCCCTCTCCTTATTCCATACCTGGCGTTTATTATAATTTTCCAGCTTGCTACGACCGACGATCATGTGAAACATTTATCTAGAATCTAGATATCTAAATGAAACTTTTGTTTTTGATGTAAATAGCAAGTTATCCTCAGTATTAGTACCGGTACCAGGTTGGCTACGGTACCTCAGTTTCCTGTGCATTTTAAAAACGTTTGTACATTGGTTTATATTTTTAACGAAACTGGTTTGTTCCTCAATGGGAAAAGTTGTCACATTAACTTACTAAAATCACTAAAATTTCATGATTTCTTGTTCTTTTATTTACTGAAGGAGAACCTATCCCCCGTTTCTTCGATACCTTAGAGATGATGATAAATGGTAGGGGGGCAATTACAGCGTATTATAGGCAATTTCCAGGTTGAGAACAATAGATATGTGGTACATAGAAACGGAACCAATAAATTGGCAAAAAAGATTATTAATCCGCGGACAAGGAAAAGAGGCTAAAACAGCTCCTGGACATGGATGGCTGGTGTCTCTATAAATAAATCATTGATGGTCAAGGCCGACCTTTGAGTAGCAAAGATTGTACCAATGGTCATACATCTTTGATTGTACATAACATAATGAGAGGAGGGCGTTTTCTTTACCTTACTATAAAAAAGAAAGACTTCAATCGGGAAACCCCGGAACTCCGACAAGGGGAGGAATAAAAAGTAGACGAAAAATTGCCAAGGGAGTCAATCATTTAAAAGGTTGTTCACTTCTATAAACGCTGATCATTTCTTTTCATATAAAGTTTGAACTCTATATTATTTCCTCAACTTGTTTGTATAAGGTGCTACCGGACAATTTTGTTAATTCTGCAAAATCTGTAAAGAACTAGATTGTAGCCGTTCGCATTTTGAAATAATTAAAAGTGTTCAAGTAAACATATTTACATTTTCAACTGAATAAATCCTCCGTAACGTTGACAATTAATGTGAAATGTGAACAGCAAAAATATATAGTTTCTCTCGCAGGCAGATATCTGAATCTGCTAAATACCACCTGTATGCGGACGTCCGTGAAGTCGCATTACTACTTTGACGTTCATTAGCGCGCGCGTGTGTGTGTGTGTGTTGACTGTTGACGGTTGAGATGCTGGGGATAGTGGTAGACCAGTGTGTTAATAAGGTTTCATTGATTATTGTTTATCGCTAGACCTAGTTATAATTTTAATGAGCTAAAATAGACTAAAAATTTTTAATAGGCTCTATAGACACTTGGCGCTAACGGTACAAAAACATACCATTTTCCTCTCCGCACGAAACTCGGTCTGTGGGACAGTGGCCAATCAAAATTAATATATAAATAAAGAAGTTAACCTAGTGACTCTTGTTCTAGCAGTAATGGAAGGTTTTCTTCATTTTAGGGCCTATATTCAACAATAAACACCACCCTTTTGGTGCAGATAAAGGACCGACACATACAATAGTTGGCAGACAAATTGCACAGTTTGAGACAGCGACAACACCCAGCCTCCCACATTTCAGTGCCATCTCGTATTCTTATAGGCTAACGGGAGTCTGTCTACTGGCTCCCATTCCCCCCCCCCCCCCTTCCCTCCCACCCTCTCTCTCTCTCTCTCCCCCTCCCCCCCCCCCCCCCCCCCCTCCCCCCTTTCCATTCGATTTGAAACAGCGTGAGAAGAGAATATGAATGAAACTATTGAAACAGATGAAAAAAAAAAGCCTCCCAACGTTGTGCTTCTGTAACTATCCCTTCTGCCTGCAAAACTATGGGAGAGGTCTACATCTACATACTACTCATAATATCGTAGCAGCTGTAGGCTACACACTATACACCGCCTTCAGGAACCCTAGTAAATCTCAGGATGAAAACTTGGTACATCTGAGCATGAACAAGAAAAGGAAGAAAGAAAGCATTGTTATGTAAGGGGGGGGGGCACCTTTAAGCCGAGGGAAAGTAGGTCTTTGTCTATGAAAAAGGCAGCCTTGTGGGTAGACTAACGGGAATAAATACCCCCTGTTCTCGAACAGACAACCTCTCTTTTTTTTTTTCGGTAAGTGTTTTACGGCGCACGCAACTGCATAAGGTCTTATGAGCGCGCGGGACACACTAAACATTTTCAGTTGGTAGGACATTTTGAATTTTGCCCGGGTGGCGGCCAAAGCCTACTCTTATCGATTTTAGACCACCAAGGGATCTTTAATGTGCGCAACTTGCATACGGGGCCCCCGAGATTTTTCGCCCTTGTCCAAGAATATTAGGTGCAGATCTTTCCTATTAGAAGATCAGGGGTGTGGCTGAAAGACAACAGTAAGAAGGAGCCAAGGAGTAGCAGAAGAAAGGCTGCAGAAAAAGTCAGGAGCACAGAGGAGGGGGCAACAGAGGTCGAGGGGTGGGGGCAGAAAGTGGAGACG